ATAATAACCGAATATTATTCTTAGAAATAGGAACAATTATTAGGATAGAGAATTATTATGATTATACAATTATTAAAACGAACTTTGTGGTATTTAAATACAAGTATTTACAAATTGTTAAAAATACTTTTAAAAAGTATTCAAAATACTTAAAAAATACTTTAAAAAAATTGTATTTAGAATACCAAAAAATACTTCAAAATGTATTTTAATACATGTATTAAAATACTTGTATTCGAATATTTTACAAGACTGGCCATAATTTAACACCAATCGTAGCAAAAATAATTTTTAGTAGGTTTGGTCGAAAAGGTTGGAACTTGAGCGTACAGGATAACGCACTGGAAGCTAGAGTGTGAAAAATGATGAAAATAAAAATGGTTGAATACAAATGTTTATTGACAATAAATGTCAATGCCAACGGCTGGTGTATTTATTCGTGCGTGGGTGTTGGAAGTCAGGAATATGTGGTGTTTAAGGTTAGTACTACTACCTACTAACTTAGTAAACGGTAGGGAAAGCGAACCCGAGGGAGGATTATTGATGAAAGAAGATACGGGAATTAAAGATGGTGAACGACTTTAAACGTATATATATGTATACAATTACAGTAGGTACACTATACTGCGCGAAAAAATGGAGAACTGTAAACATTACTGGGGGAAATACTAATGTAGCACACCTTCAGTTCAGATTATGGAACAAATTTATCCCGGTTGCATAGATAAATGACAGTTGAACTGATGAATTTTTATCGCCTTTAGTACAATGATACATTGGATTTCTATTGTCTGCCAAGCATAATACTTTTTTCAACATTTACATTAAATTGCTGATATGCTCCATTTTTTGGTTCAACATCTGGTAACGTTGTTTTAGCATCGATGTTACCATTCTACGTTATAAACCTTTAAATCAAATGTCCATTCTAATAATCAAAATAAATATATTCGTATTTTTTTTTCTTCAATTTTTTCGTCAAAATTTTAAGGATAACAATTTTGATAAAAAAATATTCTCGTTTGAAAACATTAAAACAATTCATCTGAAATACTTCCTCTCGAGCTTATGTTAATTTTTATTATGAATATGGTTTCAACCGCAGTAAATCTCTTCATATGGTCACACTGATTTCTTAATAAGTGAACACATTTTTATTGTTTGCTTTGCTTAGTTTTTCCCAATACAATACGTACTCTCTGACGAATATTTTACTGTGTTCGCTTGTTTATTGCCGTGTTCACTCCACCTCTCATTCTATAGTTTAGATAACTGGAATCATTGTGTAAGGGTTCAATACCATCAATTCAGTTTCGGATTTACGACTAATTATTGTGTATCGCCTTCTCCGCTTCGGTTTTTGTAATACAAATAATTTTTGTGTTTCCTCGTCTACTAAGATTCTGTAAGTGTTGGTATTATTGAGCTATGATTTTTGTCGTGAAATGCTTTGTAATGATGTAGTGAAAACAGATTCACTTATTGCTTTTTTACTTTTAATTTGATCTGATTATTGCTTTTAAACTTTAATCAAATTTTAAGAGCTATTAGAGTAGCTTTCTTTTTTGATTATTTACATGAAAAGATGTTAAAGAATTATATTTAATTGAATATGATAGGGACTAATTTTTAATACAAATATGCATGAAACATTACATATGAATAATTTAAATAATTAATAACCAATATAGTATATATATAAATATAGTATTAACAACCAATTCACCATTTTTTATATATTTTGTTACAGTTATCATATTTATTCTTATGATAATTTACGCTTCAAGAGTCAAATTCTAAAGAAAGTTAGAATAATGATAATAGGAAATGCTAAAATATTAAAATTATTTCATTTATTGTTAGGGAATTATTTTGAATTTATTAATTAATGTAAAATCTTAAATTATAATTTTGATTATAAACATTTATGATTGAGTATTACATAAATTGTATTTATATTTAAATTTACTGTATTCATCTTTTGCAGTAAATAATATTCTAAGTTGTATTTTAAATTCATATATACTGTGCAATGCCGTAACTACCCTCCATGGTGTTCTTGGTGAATTTTATTTTGTCACTTAGTTTATATAATTATACCAATTTTAATTTAAATGCGCCCTTGGCAACCGCCCATTTATTCCTCATCTAGTTACAGCACTGATACTATGAATTCTGTCTATGGTAGGTCAAAATCCAAAGGTACTAAAAAATCCTGTTTTAAATACCTAGTTTATTGTTTGTTCAAGTCTTAAATTATGTTGAGACTATATTTAACACATTTGCAGTCAGTTCCTAATAACAGTAAATTTAATTTTGATGTTATGGATCATTACTGCTATATTAGTAAATACAAAACTCTCAAATTTTGGCATTACTGCTTATGCAGTAACATTCTTAATAGTATTAAAGGGAACTAGATATAACATAACATATAACATAACTGACTTGTTATGTTCATACTAAAGTTTGAGCACAGAATACACAATTCTATTTATATATTTATTATTGGTATTTTAAAATATCACCACAATAGAAGTATTAAAATGTGACTTTATGAGGTAGGTAGATAAATAATACGAAAGAATTTCCTTGAACGTGTTAAAGTTGGAAATTCTAAATATACTTAAAATCCGTATTTATTTTAATTCCATGTTATTTTGTCTTGAATATTTTTCACTGTATATATTATGCATTGAAATGTTCTGTTATCTATATAGCTACTGAAGTAATTAATTTGAAGTATGAAATAATACACAAATTATGTTTGGAGATGATGATTTCATGAAGGTTCTTTTTAACATTTAGTTTATTATTAATTTTGCATTTTTGCATTGACCATCTGATAAATCAATTAAATAAGAAAATTATATATTTTATACACTTACATTTCTTGTATATTATAAATCAGGTAGTCAATAATTGTTACAGCTTTAAAATATCATTTGTTCATATTTATTAGTAATTTTATATTTAATTTTATACTAACAAATATGCAGTTAATAAATTGTGTTATACAATTGTTAATGTTATTTAAAGAGACTCAAATGATTATATTAATATAATGTTGATTTGTGTACATAATTATTATAAAATTATATCAGTTAACTGATTAGTATAAAGTCCTACCCTTGACTTGAATTAATATGGGTTTTAGCGTCAATGAATAATACTTTATTATTATTAAAATATTAATTTATTTGTCATATTTATTAAAATAAATATTATAATTATGTGATGTATAATAAAATTTATGTATTAAGTACAATTTAAAATGAGCACTGATTACTTTTATTTTTATTTTTTTTCAGAAAAATGTCTGGCATTGCACTTACTCGTTTGTTTGAAGAACGTAAGGGATGGAGAAAAGATCATCCATTTGTATGTGATGTTACATTAATTACTAATTATATTAAAAATTAATTACATGTATTATAAAACAATTTATCAAATAATATTTATCATTGTTAAAACTTTTCATAGAATATGAATATTATCTTTTCTAGTATATTAATGTTTTCAGTAGTATACTGAAATTTTAAACCCATTACAATTTCTATTTTTAGACTGATTGAACAATCATTCTGAAGAGAAAATTTGCAATGGGTCTTAAATTTCAACATAAGTATTATTTAAGACATAAATAAATCTAAAAAAAGAAATCCATAAAAGTTATAATATAATTATATAATAATTTTATAAAAGAATATTACATTAAAAATGTATTTGTACAAATTACTAATTTACATATTTTTGGTTTTAGGGATTCGTTGCTAAGCCAGCTAAAAACGCAGACGGTACATTAAATCTAATGGTTTGGGAGTGTTATATCCCAGGAAGAAAAAGTGTAAGTATTAATTACATTTGTTTTAATTTTTTAGATTTTAATAAAGTTAAATAATATTATATATTTAATGTTTTGTATCTACTGTATACATTTATTGCCTGTATAATTTTATAGTTGCACTTTCAGCTGCAGTAATTATTTTTAGTATTTATATTGTTATTGAACATTAAAAAGAATACTTTTTTTAAATTATATTTATCATATGTGATTTGTTTGAAAATTATTACTATATAAAAATAAATAGTATATAAAACTAATAAAATATTAGTAAATAATTTACAGAAAATATCTGTATTTATATAGCCATATGATAAGTATTTTGTTTTAAGAAATTATAATAACATGTTTAATGTAAAATTGAAATGTTTAGTTCACCCTTTTTAATGATAGTAATTGCTTAAAATTAATTTAATTAAAAATTAATTTTTCAGACTCCTTGGGAAGGTGGCATGTATTTTTTACGTATGATCTTCAAGGACGATTATCCTTCCAGTCCACCTAAATGCAAGTTTGAGCCTCCATTATTCCACCCAAATGTATATCCTTCTGGTTAGTACAGTTTTAGTTATTATTTTTATTAATATTTCTACTATAATTTTAGGTTCTGAGCTAACTGAGGAATATTTAGTTTTACAATAATTTTATTTTATTTTCTATTTCTTTAAATAATGAAGATAAACAAATTTTGTTTATGTTTATATGAATTACAGCGAAAATTACTACCAAGATTTATATTTTAATTAAACTTTTATGTTTAGTAAATATTTGGGAATATAATTATTTTATAACAATTTGAATTTATTCTTCTGGAAATATTAAAGTTTTATTTTCATTCAATTTATGATTGATAATAATTTTTATAGCTTTTATCATAATATTAATATATAATTTAACTCAAATATTTTTATTTTGAATTAAAGTTTGTAAGATCATAATATGAAAACTTAAAATAATTATGTTGAAATATTGACGATCTATTAAAAAAAAAAAATGTAACTTAGTACTTATTATTAGTATATACTATACAATTGTTAATAGTAATTGATCTTTACCATTTTGTTAACCTATTTTTACATAAGTAAATGTATTTCACTAATTTTTGCTTGAGATTGTTTCTTAAAAACTGATCATTCATTTTAAATATATGTAAATTAATTTAGACTCAAAATTAGTATATTTTTATTTATGACTAGGTACTGTTTGCTTATCACTGTTGGACGAGGATAAAGATTGGCGCCCAGCCATTACTATTAAACAAATTTTACTGGGCATTCAAGATTTATTAAATGAACCAAATATCAAAGATCCAGCCCAAGCCGAGGCATATACTATTTATTGGTAATTACAGTTTATTATTTATACTTTTACAATAGTACTAATTATTAGTATGTGGTCCATTTTTGATTTTACTATTATTTTATAATGACAAGCAATGAAACCTAATGAATTGTAATTAATAATAATCTGTAATAAAAATATACAAAAATGTATAATAAAATATGGTAGTTATAAAAAAAAATGTAATAAAATTAAGTTTATATCTGAGTCAATAATTTTGTTGGGTTGCCCATTAGATTATCTCATATAAATTAACTTTATAAATGTTTTATTTATTTTTTTATGTTTACAGCCAAAACCGCGTTGAATATGATAAACGAGTAAGAGCACAAGCCAAAGCAATGTCCAGAGCTGAATAAGTATAGTTGGTTATAAGAAGATGATGAGTTAATTTATTTATCTTTTTATAATAGTAACAATTCTTAATTGTTTATACATTTGTTCAATAAGAAATTTCCATTTGTATCATATCCAACATTAAACATTTAACTGGCTTTTCTTTTTTGTATTAAAAACAGCTTTTTTTTTAAGATTAGATTTATTATTTTTTCTATTTACAATTGTGTTATAAATATTTTGTGATCATTTTGGTACATATAAAGAAGGAAAAAATATGAGGATTAGATTATTTTGATTTTACATTTCATTGTGAGAGTGTTTGGTTTATAATTTGAAATCCTTTATATTTATAATTTGACAAAATTGTACTGAATTTCTTTTTCAAAATTAAACCTTTATCTTCTCACCAATGAAAAAATATTATTAAAAATAAATTAAACATTATACTAAATAACTTATACATTACTTAAAAATGTATAAATAAATTTATAGTTATACATTTAATAATCCTAACTTTTACGTTACTTTGGATTATTCATATAGTTTTAAAAATAAAACGAGCAATTTTCAATAATCTTAGATTAGTTGTATTCAATTATTGTAAAATGTTTTTTTTTTTCTTGGTTTTCTATATTACCAAGAATAATTGTTACTGAGGTTTTGGTTCAGTCTATAAAGAATTATTGATAATGTTTATATATTCATAAACTTCATTTTATACTAATCTAATAACAATAGCTTTTGGTTCAATATCTATAGCTATTATTTATACTGTAGGTTTTTAGTTGACAATTTATTGGAAACCACACCATTAATTAATCTTTAGAGTATAATAATACACAAAATTGATATATATTTAATCTAGTTGAAAATTTATTAACTTGATCTAAAAGTGAATAAAACAGTTGCATGTGTATATTTTTTTGATTTTTGGTTGGACATATAAGAAATATTTTGCTTAATATTTCCTACTTTATATTGTAAATTAATATAGTATAAATAATAAAAAATCTACTGTAGAACCTCAATTATCTGCTGCAATAATAGTGTGGAGGAATCATGCGGATAAATTAAAACCCTGGTTAATTGAGATAAAGAATTAAATTTTTTTTTATTATAAGGTTTTATTTTATTTATGTTATATAAATACATATTTTCATGTTTTAAAATTATCAGGGAATGACATTTGAAGTAAATAGTCTTTTTGGTGGTTTGAAATAACTTTTTTTGAATTAATGATATCACGGAAATCAATGTTTTGTTGCTTGTAGAAGTTCAAGAAGATATCAACTATTTTCATAAATATATTTATGATATAAATGTCAATACATTGTTTATTAAATCAATATACTACGTTAATTATATGTTATTATTCTTGTAAGTTATTTTTATTTTAATTTTGTTTCTATACTACATTCATTTTAATGTATTAAAATATATTTATTTTAGGTAAAATATCAAACATTTTATTCAAAGTTAAAACTTAGATTTAAATTGTTGATATATAGAATAAATATATTAGAATATTTTTAGTATGCCATAGACTTTCTGTCTCTACATAGTAATATCACAAATTAAGTTCAATATTAACAAAATGTTGATTATTTTCAACACTAGACCAACGGTTCCCAAACTTTTTCCGCGGTGCTTATTTTTGGACCCAATTTAGCCACGGTGGCCTGACTGTGAATAACATTAAAGACAGAAACAAAAAAAGATTTATTGTTAACCAATTTTATTAATTTTAATAAAATTTAACTAAGTTATAAATTAATGCATTTTTAAATTTAAAAATTAGATAAATAAAAATGATTGTTATTATGATTATAATTATTATATAAAAATATTACAAGGTTAAAATGAGAATAACCGATTATACAATAGAAAATATTACATTGTTTTCTATAATGTTTTTACGAAAACTATATGGAAAAACAATTTTATACATTTTAAACTATTTGTTATGAACCGTAGACAGTGGTGCCCCTAGGGCACCGCGGTGCACAGTTTGGGAACCGCTGCACTAGGCCATTTCTTACATAAGCAAGCTAGCTGGTGCAATCAAACATCTGTTAAACTTCAAAGCAAAACAATTGATCCATTAAAAGCACTTAACCTACTTATATCATAGAAAATTTATGCGGTTAGGCAAAGAGATTTTCATAACACTTATGAAAATAAAACTTCAATACTAAGTTTAAAATTAAAAAAACGTTTTAAAAATGAAGATAATGAAAGACAAATTAAGAGCAGAAACACATATCATGATTGTTGACAAATCATTTATTTGTAACCAGTCTTGTAAAGTATTCGAATACAAGTATTTGAATACATGTATAAAATACTTTTTGAAGTATTTTTTGGTATTCTAAATACAATTTTTTTAAAGTATTTTTTAAGTATTTTGAATACTTTTTAAAAGTATTTTTAACAATTTGTAAATACCACAAAGTTCATTTTAATAATTGTATAATCATAATAATTCTTTATCCTAATAATTGTTCCTATTTCTAAGAATAATATTCGGTTATTATTGATGAATCTAATAAGTAATAAAATAATAAGATATTACTATAATATTACTAATTTTAAAACTGTTAAATTTCAAACCGTTTTAACGCTATCATATAAACGTAGTATACTACTACGATAGATATATTAGATAATGTAAGTTTATGGTATACCTATATGTTTTAAAAAATAAAAATGTATTGAAAATATTTTGTTTGATTTTTAATGAAAATAGCGATCGAACGCTCAAAATTAAACGTGCGTGTCTTGGCACGTTTTATTTATATGTGGATAAGGAATAGAATATTTGTTCATGTTTTATTTTGAAACGATTATCGTGATGTTCGAAACGTGTGGAGACGCGCCACGCTCGTTCGAATCTCCCAGTGTGTAATCTGTGGGTTTCCCATATTATTATTTATTTTGAAATTATGATTATCAACATATATAGTTTTTCTATGATCCAATAATATGTGTTCTCTATTTGGGATATTTCAAGACTAAAATATTGTTTATCATAATCATAAAGCTACATCTTACTGCTACGTCTACCTCTACACAATAATTATAAGTTACACTTTTATACTACCTAGCTTCAATTTAGAGAACACGCGCTACTCCTAAGACACACTTTATTTGTCATTTGTTGTATGTATCACGTGTGCCGTTTTTTTTATATATAAAACAGTAAGCTGATTGACTGCTATCAACGCACAGCTCAAACTATTGGACGGATCTGGCTGAAATTTGGCATACAGATAGCTATTATGATGTAGACGTGCGCTAAGAAAGGATTTTTCGAAATTTTGAATTTAAAGGGTTGAAATCGGTTTAATATTTTTTGACCAGGTCGATAACTGCGCTATTGAAAATTAATTATCTGTATATATAAAACTATTAAAAACTATTAATTTTATTTTTGGTAGTAAATGACGGGTATTGCATAAATATTAAACAAAAAGATCCCGCAACAGGTGCCAAAACAAATAAGAATGTTAGTTCAAAAAATTATTATGCATATCGGTTGATGATTAGACGCGATAAGGACTAAGTTATTTTACGATGCATAAGCTTTGTCAACAATTCATAGTCGAAATATATATAAAGATAGATAGCGAACGATTTCGATACTTCGA